CTGGGTGTACCAGCTGCTGAAATCATTTTCTTCTCGGGACTTTGGTCAAACCAACTTATAACTGTGTTATGGCGTATGAAAAAGCTATACAGTAGATAGGAAAAGACAACGATTTATGATTCAGAAAAGTACTAGTTTTCTTATAGTGGGTGAGAAGAAAACTTGGAGGCTGACAACTAGATATAAGCGTGCATCAACATTCTGTGCTGTTATGCTTTGAGATATATGATCGTTTGCTCGCCTCTCAACAGGCTGGAATATGGTTAGAAAATGATAAGTGATATCTTAATTCTTAAAGGTATGCTTCAGTATGTAGATATTTGCGGATATAAGGCATTGTATGTTTGAATCTGTGTGACGATGTAAAGCAATAAGACCACACATTGTGACGAGAAGTATGATAAATCTTATTATGAGCAAACTTAAGCAGAATTCCACAACTTGGCAACATTAATTAAAAGCAACTGGCAGACAGTAAAGCATTGACGAAGCCAGAAAACTATTTGATCAGACCGAAAAGGAATGAGGGACTGACCAACCACAGATTTATATATTTATGTGCACTGGTTAATTGGCTACATTTGGTTATACGATTGGAGTGGAAAATGAGGCTTCGTCTTATGATTCAGGATGAACGTGACATCTGAACGTGAACGTAACTTTAAGCATAAAGATTTTTGCAAAATAAAAATAGCTAGGACTGCTTACAGAAAGGAATATAAATATTGAGATAATTAAAATGATTAAAAAACGAATGCCCTAAATATATATAATATATTTATATAGGGTTTGTCTTTTATGTAAAAAGGTGTGTCCGTGAATTTTGAAGGGCGTGAATTCATTTATGAAAAAGTGGCCAGTAATGGTGAGAGCTTTATTGTTCTTTATTTAGCAAGATCAAAACATTGGTAGAAAGATCCATAGTTCATCCCAGAACCAAAACAAACCCCTTTATTGTACCATGTTGATGTACAACATTGATGAAATAGAGTTGTCAAGTGATGACGTCACAAAAATCTATTTTTACAATTTTTTAAATTTGTTCCCATAGCCTGAAAGAGCATCTTGGAATACCTCTAAATCTGCAAAATCAGTAAAAGGTATCACAAATTTGCTGAGATATGACAAGAAGAGCACAAGCTCTGACCCTATCAAACCTCTGTTTTTGGTCTCAGTTCATAACTTTTTGAACTGAGCCACGATAACATTTATCCGTTAGCAAACTTCAAATTTTCTATTGGCCATAGCTCACTCGATTTGTGACAAATTTAACTGATTTAGCATATATGGGAGTGTTTTATGGTGTTCTTTTATGTTATGTGGTCAAAATTCGAAAATTCTCAAAATAGTTTTTTGTAACGTCACACATGAGAATTCTATATTGGTGGTTGAATAAGGCTAAAAAAGATGAGTGCAAATGAAACTTGGTATATTCTTAATAAAAAGGTCTTCTGTTCTCTAATGACAGAGCACAGGATATTGGATCAAGTTCTTTACTAAAATTTTACAACAATAGCATTAGAAATCCTGCTTATACGGTAGAAGAGAAGCAAGTTTGTAAACTTTGTAACGATTTTCTTTTTTCAGCACTGCAGCTTATTTCCGTGAAAGTTTACTAAAAATCTTATTGTTTCGCAACTTTGCATGGCGTACAAGATCAGTATGTGTTTAGATAACGGTAATAAGTAGTTAGATAAACTTACTCGCGAAGGAAAGAGAGTAAATCCGCTCTTTGGCTCAAATGGGAAATTCAATGACTAAACACGCGGATTACAATGCCTCAGTCAGAACCCGAAAGCTAACTGACGTCATTCGTTAGTGCGAGCCGATTTCTCGAGGTGACAATTTCTGAAAGATGATTCAAAAACAAAAGATGTCGTAAAATTTGCTTTTATTAATAACAATTCCAATTTGATGTCGTAAAATTTGCTTTTATGCTAATCTTCATGGTTTTTCAGTTCTGTGGTTGAAGTTCCATCATTAGATCCTATTCTTAATTAATTTTGAAGGGTTGAAGATAATTGTGTGCAACCTCTTTCGAGTCGTTGTTCAAACAATGGCCTTCTTTTAATAATAATAAAAAGAGGGAGTGTATACCTTAACATGAATCACGATGTGGTGAGTTTACAAGACTATTCATGATTGATCACAGTTTCTGCCCCAGCTCAGGGATATTTTGAAGTAACTTGAAGCAGTTAAGGTTGTGGTTAGCCAATATGCATTTATTGAAAGAAAAAAGAAGAAAGGATGAATTACTAACTTAAAGCAAAACGAACAATTATAGCATTGAGATCTAACAGTGATACTGTTTCAGTGAAAGTGTAAATACAGAAGGACTTTTAATGTGAATTCAAGATTTAATGAGCGGGTTGAGCTTATTAAAATATGGTTCTATATAACCATCCAGTGCACAAAAAACCAGTAAGGAGATTCGACGATATTGCCTATTAAACAGAGGATTTATAAAAGAAAGAAGGGTTCTAACTTAAAAACCCTTTTCTGAAAGACGCTATTAAAAATGCTTTATTTTGTTTATGTAGATAAAATGTAGAATTATATATCATTTTAATTTAATTTCGTCAATTATTAAGGGTCCTAAATAAAACGTACGGAGTCGCTAATGAAATAAAACTTCTTGCAGCCAATCATGTTTAAAAAATTAACTTCTCTCGTTGCTTTTAAGAAAATAAACAGAAAACGAAAGCAATCGGAGAATGACTGGATCTTGCTCAGTCGAAGTAATGAGAAGGTTTTGCGTCAAATGCCATAAATTAAAGTTTGATGACCAGAAAAAATCTTTCAAGAGATGTAAAGTTGACATGTTATCAACTCAACTTTATATCATGTGAAGCAGAGACAACTGACACGTGATCTATCTAAGAGTCCACAGTCTATACATCATAAAGAACGAACCCGATTTCACTTCAACTACTGCGAGACATGTAAGGAGAAAGTGTGCCTTGCAATAAATACGAAGATTCCAGAGATATCGTTGAAAAAGAGCTATAAAAGAGAAGCTCAGTCAACATCCTTTAATCCAGAATCAACATAGAAAACCATCTGTTTCAAACCAAAATAGATTTTTCTAGTAACTTTATCATTACCAAACAGAGAGGCCACACTTTTCATATGAAATAGATAAATCTGAATTGAAAATTTATGCCAGTTGGACATAGCCATTTACTTCTTGAAAGGTGAATGGTTGTTCAATTACTTCACTCAATATATTACGAAATCTCAATAGAATGTGATACAGCGATGGTTGAGTTGCTTGGAATGTGGTCACAATCTGATAGAGATTTTGTAAATATAGTAACTGCAGGAACCTTGGTTTAGATTTCTTGGTTACAATATATGATGAGTAAGTATCAAATTATGTTTAAAGTCAAGGGGGTGTGAATACTTCACTAACCGAGTCCAAAATCATATAAACAGGGGGTTTAAAAACGGAAAGTCGGTTAAGTTGCTTGTAAATAATCAATAAAGTTAAAGCATTGTTGAAAAAGATCGCTAGGGAATTTAGCCTGCGTGCAGAAAGTTTCGTTTTGGTTCTACTTCGCAACGGAAAGACAAAGATGCACGCAGGCTGTTGAAAATTAAGAATTTCGCATTTCGCATGTTAGTCAAATGTCGCCGAGTAAAGGGTGGCACTAAAGGGTAAGGTGTTTTCAAAAGACCCCAAAATAAGCGGGGGGGGGGGTATCATTTTCTTCCGACCCGTTGTTAAGTTTGCTTTTGCTGTTACAGCTTTTATAGTGAAGGCTATTTTTGTTGTTGTTTGAAAATAAATGAAGGTCTGATATGAATTTGGAATGATTTTTGAAACTGTTCATAAAAATTTAAAATTTTTAAACAGTACTCTCGAGTGCCGAATAAACGGGGGAGTGAGAATCATCGAGTGGGGGGGGGGAGAGCTGGGTTTTAAATGGTTCGATATGATAAAAATCGGGTGTTGGAACAATTGGGAGGGGTGGGTAGTTTTGCATCTATCTTTTCATATTAGTTATGTAAATGACACATTTTCCTCAAGAACTATGGTTCTGTTGAATGCGATTCTTGAGACTAAGTAAATTTTCTTAGAAGGAAAATTCAAAAATCATAAGCACCATCTTTGCAATTTTTCAATGAATTAAAAAAGGGAGTTGCAATAAAATTTGGAGGGTTGAAAATTTGCAAAAGCGGGGAAGGAGGAGATTTGGTCTAGAAGGTGTACATATGAGTTTAATGGGAACTGCTATTCCGCAACGGATAGCCTCGTTTTTTTGCAATGGAGAGCATCGCTATTCCGCAACGGAAAGCATCGCTATTCCGCAACAGAGAGCATCGCTATTCCGCAACGGATAGCATCGCTATTCCGCAACGGAGAGCATCGCTATTCCGCAACGGAGAGCATCGCTATTCCGCAACGGAGAGCATCGCTATTCCGCAACGGAGAACATCGCTATTCCGCAACGGAGAGCATGGCGTGCACATTTCAAATTAAGATTGACTAAATTTTCTTGATTTGGCCATTTCGAGACGCTTCTCTGATCATTATATGAACCCGTTATGTTAAAAGTTCCAGTAAATAAGGAATTTGAAAACAAAACTTAAAAAGTAAAACTGGTGACCTGCAAAGCCAATCAGATTTTGAATTTGATCCTAGGAAACCGACCGGGAAATCTGGTACGACGAAAGTAACATAGGCATCCACCATTTGTTGCCTAGGATAGGCATCCGTCGTCTGTTTTGTTGAAAAACGGACCTTATTCGGACCTCATTTACCTTATTCAGTAAAAAATTAGGCTTTACATAAATCATACAGAGGACAGTTGCAGCTCTCTATGGGTTTAAACGCAAGTCTGCTGAAAGCATTTATTCAGAGTTCCAACCTAGTTTGGCGGACATTAAAGAAAATCATAGTCAACTAACTTAAATCAGGAAATTTGCCTATTTTCACCTTGACGAATTTCGCTTTATAAAACACAATCAACAACTATAGAAATAGAAAAATGACTCACCAATACGCAGGGAGAAATTTTCAGTTCTATTCTTCTTGAACTTGGCGGTCAGTGAAATCTTTGCGTCTGTTTCAATTCAAGCAGCACTGGTACGCAGTTTCCACGACTGTAAAAACAATTCATAAAGAATGAATTTATTGAGAGGCCTTCACCCACGCGAAGGAGAACCAAACAAAGTGCGGAATTAGAAAACTGGCATGTAGATCCTGTGAAATTTCGGTGCAGTGACAGACATATGGGCCTCGAATGTTTAAAGGACATACTTTGCCAAGCACAGCTAATACATCATTTCTTCGGTCGATCACTTTCATATAAAAATATCCATTGGGAAATCAGACAAGTGACAACTAATTAAACGACCAGGTCGTGTGTTATAACGACATTGTCAAGCATTCCTGTCCGTCTGCAGTGGTTTAGCTATTAATAGATGCTCTTGAATGTGGGCATCGTTTAAAGGAACTTGTTCAAATCATATTGCAAATTTTGTTTCTAGTCGTTTTGGCAATCAAAAGAGTGAGATGTAGGGCTTCACCTCCCAACCCCTAAAACACTCATTCAAAATGTTCAATCAACTCCTTCATTAATTATTGACTAGAGAATAAAAGATACCTTGCTTTCCTCTTGAACAACGCACTCAGCATTTGATCACGAGATTTGCTGGAGCAGATGACGATTTAGGTAGGGACCATAAAGTTAACTCTATGGTAGGGACCCACTGCTCTGGTATATCTTGCGATCAAATGGTCCGTCCATTGTTATGACATTCGATGTCAAAGAAACGATGTTAAATATTACTAGGTCAGATAATTATATAACGCTTGCGGTGTGTGAAGTAGCCAATCAGATCGTTTCTTCGTGTGATTGGCTATTTTTTATTTACTTTGAATTATGTCGGGACGGACCGATTGTTCGTGTTTTTTCGTTCAATCTCATTTGGTTGCTTAAGTATCAAGACATAATTATTTGTCCGTTATTTGGATTTGTCTGATAAAAAGAACATTAAATATTCGGGATAACCAACGATTCTTCGATGTTTTGATTTGCGAACCCTTTGAATGAAACTGTAGGCGTTGTAAAAAGGGATTGATGAGAACAATCTAAATCTTACAAACAAGATCTCCAAAAAAATGTTAAAAACTTATTCATCTACTCAAACTTTTCTTATCAACAACAATTTGCAAAAGAAAAACATTTAAAGAGCTAGTAAATAGCAATAACAGTAATTTATTAACTATATTTTATACCCTAATTTCATTAAATCCACCCACGCTAAACCTATACTAATAAAGATTATATCTTTCTGCTTCCATTCTAAATAAAAAGAAAATTAAGTTGCCGCGAGTGACTGCATTCCATAAACCTAGCGACAATGAGGGCAGAGCGGGCAAATCACTCTCAGTATTTTTGACATTCGAAATGTTTGGTATTATCTGGACTTAATTCTTGGCTTTTCCAGGAAATATTCTATTGCCGGGAAATTCTAACTGTTTGTTACCCCTATAAGAAAGGCCTCCCTGCGCTCCTGCTCCAGCTATATTGAACCATCTACACAGCTTATAAGCTGGAATTTAATGTTAATATGATATCAAAGAAATAGAGACACCCCTAAATATTCACTATCTCAATAAGTAAATTTGCTTTTAACTTTGTAGTAGGGGTCTTGAGTTACTGTGTTTTTAATATTAAAAAAGTTTCACGCAGAATTATTTATTTTGTCCAAATTTATATTACCTAGTTGACATTATGAGTAAGAAGATCTAATTTTGTCTTAATTGGTGCGATACTTTTAAAAAGTAGAATGATCTTTAAAGGGACAATCAACTTCAACGAATAGGCATCACTTAAGATCCTTCATTCTTTTCAATTCCTTCTTTAACCTTAATATTTTCCATAATATTATCCTGTTCTTCTTCTTTTTTTAACATCATCTTTCCTCGTATGCAGCAGCTGCCAATATTTATACTTCTTGCTTTCGCCACTTTTTAACTAGGGACTTATGAAATCCATAAAATTCTGCAACGGCAGTGGGCCTAAACATTTTTACGGTGAGATAATCCCCACTTGACTCCTTTTCTTCCACATGATTTCCTGCTCCGCACACCTGTAGCACGGGCAAAATCATCTTGATCGGACTCTTTCTGTTGATAATTTTGTAGGTTCTTGAAAAATTCTTTTTTGAAGACATTCCTTTTCAACTGCAGGAATTGGAGAATTTAGGTATATTTTCTTGGCAGCCTAACTCTCCAGTAGTGCTTTCTCTCTACAGCTAGGTGTGCTTTCGAAATTGTCCTCATTGGCTAAAAACTTTAAAACAAAGCATCTGATTGGACGAGAACGAAATTCTGCCTTGCTGAGCTCGAATAGAAGCTGCATTCAATGTATCATTATTAAAAGAGATACCTGTAGGCTATAGGTAAGAGGCATAACAAAGTAAAGGAATATGTCTAACGATGGCTAACGCGATTATGCCTTGTCTTGCAGATATACATTTTATACCGTCTTTTTTTCATACCGTCTTGTATGATTCATAATCATAGGAAAGTCGAATTCAACGCAAAGTAAATAAAAAAGTAAATATAGGCCGCCCTTGAATAAAAGCCGCGGGTTTCCTTTCCACCAACGTCCAAGTAGAGAAAGTGCTGCAAATGATGGAAATCAACTGATGTAATCTTTCGGCGAGAACATCCAGATGTGTCTGATATACACAAATTTACAGGCCGAGGGCAGCGATCAGTGGCGAGATTAAAGCCGCAGTCTGCCCAATGAAAATTTTATGCATTTAGTATCTGTCTTTATTTGAAGGTTATTTGGAGGCAGCTTGTTAAGTCCTTAACCACTGTAGGTTAACTTAATTAAATCAAGAGGAACGGTAAGATATGGTGGACCTCCAGCATTGCGCGGTCCCAAAGAATTTTCTTTGTAACGCCCCCTTGGGCACAAAAAGGGGGAACCAAGCAAACAAAGGAAAGGCCCGTAGAAAGCTATTATGTGCCCAACGCACATACAACACTTGAGATGTGGAGCGGGATTCGATCGGTAAGATACAATTGAGAAACTGGTAGGCACGATTAAACCAAGCTTATCTTAATCTTTACATATATAAACAATGGCTTATTTTAATACTGATGTTAATAGTCTGTTAATGAGGACAAAATAGAGATAGAAAGACAAATATATTTTACATACGTAAGACATTTTCCCAGTTACATGGCATAGCAAGAGGGCTTGAGACACACATGTGGGTGGTGGGGCAGTGGGTGGTGGGGCAGTGGGTGGTGGG